TTGAACAAAAGGATTATAAAAATCATAGATCGTATTCAGATACCCTACTCTATGGCTGTTTGGGCCAAATATAATTTCTGCACGCCATTTGATAGCATTTGACAGAGACAATTCACTCACTGGGCGTATCGTATCGTAAATGGTACATTTGTGCATAAAGATCGTATTCATATTCTCTCTGGTTCTATGATTGTTTTACATTATAATAGACCGACGAAAAAATGTCTGATTAAAAAAATCATTCATACGAGTTTTGATATTCTATATGGTAGTAGACTTGCACTATAAATGATAAAAAAAATGAACTTCGCTGCAATGATAGCAAAACGAGTTTCATTAACAGTCAATTTTGACAATGTTTGAGCCGAATTGTCCATACGATCTCTGCAAATGTAAAATTTCATATTTGCTATGCTAGTCAGTTATTCAAGTTGTTTTATAATTATATGCCTTAATTTAAAAATAAAATGAATTGAATGGATGGTATTAGAGTCATTTTAACTGCATTGCATAAGTAAAAGAAAAATGAAAAATGTTAGAAAAATATTTCTTTAATCAGTACCTTTAAGTAGATAGGAGCCGCTCAAATGGACACTGCTTAAGAAATAAGTAAAGCACTTTTAAATTATGCGATATGTCTTTAAAAAAAAAAAAATATTTAAAATACCACAACATTCTGCTTTAAATTTAATCAGCATTTGAGAAGAAAAAGTATTTGTTTTATTTTCTTTGTCTATTCTGCCTGCCATTCCTTATTCATATTCATATGCGTTCGATAATTTTCAATTATTTTCATATTTGGGTGGGGCATGACACATTCTCATAATGGAAATATATTCCGCAAGAGCTCTTTGCCGTTTGCTTTTCAGAATAGTAAACCTATGGAAAATTTGAAGTTTTTTTTTATACCTATCACGGTGGCCGATCTAATCAAATTAATGAAAAAGCTAGGCCTTGATTTTCAAATTGGGATAAAATGAATTTATTATTTTCGAAAACAGAAGAAAATGATCAGCAAAACGTTGGATTCTTGGTTGTGAACTGACGAAAACGCAACAGAAAATTTTATGCTGAGATTGAATCTCGTTTTAATCAAGAAAATACATATCGTTCACGATTTTCGATACCTTCTTGCATTCTGCTTAATATGAAATTCGTACGCGTACGGCATCATCTCAATACAATTTATTGCTTACTCTTTAAGGGGACTTGTAAGCAGACGTGCGCACCTATAATAAATGAAAGTAACTTGATCGGTAAAGATCGGTAAACATCTAAATCGCTCAACGTATTTTCTAACTTTGCTAAACAATTCATTTTCGAAATATCTCTGAGACGTATCCAAATTACGTCTGCTATTAAGCGGACGTATAACACAGAATATCAATAGTCATTGCGTAATTTCAAGTACACAGTAATATGAAAATATTTTATAACTATTATAAGAGATAAATAAGATTTGTCAAATGGCAAAGGTACACGCACAAACACATATATGCAAGATCTATGTGTCTGTCGCGCAAGAAAATTTCATCTAGAAGAACTAAGATGAAAACAACTTTGTCTCTAATCTCTTTTTCTCAGACTAGAAAACTTTTGCTTTTGTCCATAAAAACAAAAATGAAACGTTATGTTTGGGAAAAGTCGATCATTAAATACCCTAAATCAGACTCCTGCCCTATATGTATATATATATGGGAATGTGTACGGAAACTTGATCCACATATTGTCTAAGTTTCCACTTAGTATAATCGGTTTTTATATATATTACCTCGTTACGCTGATTAGGCTGATTAGACCTTGTCACTTAAATTTTGTAAGCTTCCTTATGAAGGGCGAGCGTTAGAAAAAGCAACACTCGCTGGACTAATCTTTGCATGCATTCATTTACTATGGCGTGGTTGCTATTAGTGCCTGTAAAAATGCTAAACCTAATTTATTTTCCTTGACCAACAATCGGTCAATCCTAGTTATGGGTCAAGCTATTTAAAGAAATCATTGTAAAGTTGTTGGAATTCTTTCCCTGTGACTATAACATTTTAATTTGTTTTCATTTTTTCCTTTTTTTTTAGTTTAGTAAAAGCTTGTAGGTGAGCGTGAGATTTTGAAGCGATTTACCTATACATACGTCTAGTGGATCATGTACATGTTGCTGGAATTGTGATAGTTGCACCAATCAATTGCGTGCGACGAAAAATTCAATTTCGGCTCAGGTGTACGTTAATTGTCTAAAATCGTTACGATATAATATCAGGTAAAACTATGAATTTAATTCTTATGAATAAAAAAAGAAGAAAAAACAAAAAAATAAACAAATAAATAAATAAAATAAAAAGTAATAAATTGAAGCGGATATCGATTTTATTTTGCATAAATTTCTGATGTCAAAAATAAATCTAATCGTCTCATGATACTAAGTCAAATGAATTATAAATAAAAATTTGCCTCTTTTCCTATTACGCCCCCCAGCCCCCCCCCCCCACAACTTTTGTACATGCTTTTATGATGTGATCGGTAATTAAGAATCATCATTTTTTCATTCAATCATTCTGAAAATTTCCCCGCTAAGTATTTATTGATTTCTTTAAAAACAAAACGCTAGGGTCTTACCTTTTATTTACTATTAATTAATTGTTAATGTCGTATTGCGTCCGTCTCTCTCTCTCTCTCTCTCTCTACCTCGCATTTTTTTATTGTCCGTTCTGTTTCTAGACAAAATTAATAAGGAAAAAAAATGTCAAACATTCATCCCCTTTTCATTATATTATTATATATATTATTATTTATTTATTTACTTTTTTTTTTTTTATTTTTTCATTGGAGATATTGTTAAAAAAAAAATGTTTTGTGTTATTGTTGTCGCACATTTCCTCTGGTGATAAGGAAATAATATAAATCTATATATATATATATATGTATGTATGTGTGTGTGTGTGTGTACACATGTTCATTTAAAAAAATGTATGCATGTATGCATGTACATGTTTCTCCAGAATCATAGACATACAGATATATATATATATATATATATATATATAAATATATGTATAGAAATGTTTAGTTAGTACAGTATATCTCCTATAAAGTAGTTTGTGAAGAGAGTACACTGAAAGGAATTTAACTATCAATCAAAACTGTAATTTTCGCCTTTGATTCGATTTCTATTTGATAAATTTCTCAAGTTTTAAAAATAATAGTAGCATAGTGCATGCAATACATATTACTAGCCCTTCGTTATGAATATTTATTAAGAAGGCAATGTAGCTTTAGATAGATGCAAAGTGTTTCTAACGACATTCAGATAGTTGCAGAGAAGAATTACGTCAGACAATAGGAAAACATATTGATTGATGAGTTATGGCGGCCTAGAAGCATATATTCATATCCGTAAGTATATATAAAAGATTTTTTGTGCGAATTTTTTTCCCATCAAAAGTCTATGTCGTGATAATGCTTTCTTCCTATTCCGAATCTTTTTTAAAATACCTTGTCATGATAATGAGAATTTTGACATTGTTTTTTTTTTTTTTTTATCGGTTTACTTGGCATTGTAAAGATTATGAGAATTTTTTGAATTAATGAAGAGGAAACCGACGTTTGCTTGACAAAGTTGCTATAACCTCTGACGCAGGTTATTAAAAATTTTTTTATTTTCTTGATAATGAGCATAAATCTTAACGAGTCCGCTGTTTAACCTAACACACACTCAAAATCATTTATTTATTTATATACACATAATTATTATTATTATTATTATCACAATTTTTTTTTCTTTTTTTTTTTTTTTTTGCTCTATATACAGTCTAATTAGGAATTAACTATTCGATATTAATAATAATAATAACATAGGTTATCATAACATATGTTATAATAATATCAATAATTAAAACATAAATATTAGCTTAAAAGAGATTTTTTTTTTTTTTGTCTTTTTATATTGATAGGTATCCTTTATTAGAACATCCCTTATTTGCTTTTAGTAGGAGTGAGAAGAATTTGAAATGAATTGAATAAATAATCATCGATATCCGTTACAGATATATGTAAAAGTATATATTAATAATTATTGTCATTCTATTTGCAATATCCAGACTAAAGTCTAAGTTGATGTTATTAGTATATAGTTCGCCTAACCAAAGTCAAAGATTTTGCGTGAAATTTCGATGGAAGAAAAAACAAAAAACAATGTCTAATAAAAGTGAAATTTGAAAATATTTTTTTTTGTGCAGGAAATTTAAAGCAATTCGCAGAATATTGTTTGCTTCCACTTGGACTGAACTTGAATTGAATTACTCCCTGTATTACCATAAGGTTTTTGTAATCTTTCAGCTCAACTAGCGAAAGATAGTTTCATAATTGAGATTACTAACTACTATTATCTGTGCAGATATTCATTCCTGTGTCCGCCGTACGTAGTCATAACCATCTGTTGCAAGTCACTGTTTTGTCACATACATATATATATATTTTATTAGTTGACCATGATGATGACGACACAGTTTGAAATAAGATACAAATAATCTGTAATTAATTGTCAGTAGTTATTGAAGCTTAAATTTTTTGCCTCCAGGCAGGGGGAGATCGAATTTTCAAAATTTTTTTTTTTTTTTTGAATAATTAGATGCAAGATATCGAAAGTTTATCGTTAAAATAGAAAATATATAATATATTAAGACATTTGCCAGCTGTCAACTTACCGGATCTAAATCTGAATCCCATATGTCTTTAAGGTCACCATCGTAAAACGTTTCCATGTTGTATACAATTTATTTGAAGACTTTCCAGATGATCTTTTGAGTAACAGTTTTGTAAAACGTTTCTTTATTATTATTATTATTATTATTATTATTTTTTTTTTTTTTTTTTCGTTTCCTTTATTTAAACTTAGCTTTAATTTACATATATTTATTTATTTATTTATTTACTTAGTAACTATTACTGTTATTATTATTATTATTTTTTTTTAATTTATCTTTATAATATCGTATCCTTTTCTTGATGTCAAATTCTTTTCTAATTTAAAAAACAGCCAGCCATTCAATTATAATTATATATTAATTGTTGTTGCTCGTTACCGCATGGACATGAACGAGTGTACATAAAATATGATGCGTTGATAACAACCGAGTTTTTTTTCTTTTTCTCTCTTTTATTATTTTATTTTATTAGAGTTGGTAAATTTTTTGATGTCATATATTTTTGTATTTATAACTATTTCGTCACTATGTTGCAATTTGTTTTTCCTTTTTTATTT